TTAGCTTTTCTTTTTTAAATTTTATTGATTATGCCATTACAGTTGTTCTATTCCTCTCTTCATTCCCCTCCACTCTGCACCCCCCCCATCATTCCCCCCCTTTAGTTTATGACCATGTGTCTCAAGTTCTTTGGATTCTATATTTCCCACACTATTCTTGCCCTCCCCCCTATCTATTTTCTACCTACCGTCTATGCTACTTATTTTCTGTACTTTCTCCCCCCTTCTCCTCCCACTCCCCTGTTGCTAACCCTCCATGAGATCTTCACTTCTATGGTTCTGCTCCTGATCTAGCTGTCCTTTTTGCTTGCTTTTGTTTTAGATGTGGTTGTTAATAACTGTGAGTTCGCTGTCCTTGCACTGTTCATATTTTTTATCTTCTTTTTCTTAGATAAGTCCCTTTAACATTTCCTGGTGGATTTTAGTCACAAATTAGAGGAACATATGAAGGCTAAATGAATTGAAATGAATCAGTATGAACTTTTCTAAGCAACCTACTGCAAACTGCACACAGCCCTCCACCCCTACTCTGCACATGCCAATTCTTCTTTCCTGCTTTATTTCTTGCCACTAAAGTTAACATCCCCCGGTATTTACTACCATTTTCCTTATTTTCTACTCCCCTGTCTGTTCCCATCTAGGATGCCATCCCTGAGAGAACAGATTTTCATTTCATTTACTGCCATTTGCTGTTTGCCAGTATCTAGAACAGTACCTGACACATCGTATTTGCTTAATAGATATTTTGGAATGAGTGACTCTCCATTCTAGGGATGAGCTTCTCCAGGCAAAGTCCTGCTGAAACACTACAGTAGAAGTTCCCGGGCACCATTCAGCCTGGCTGTCCTACAGTCTTCTTCCATAACGCCTTCCTGGGGACAGTTCTACCTCCAGCACCTTCGGCCACTTGGCCTCATCACTCTTCCTGGAACCTCTGGGCTACACTCTTTCTGGAGCCTCTGGGTTACATCCTGTACCCAGGCTAAAACACATTGCTTCCAGCTACAACTCTTGTCCTCCCCCGTGCCCGTGCACACACACTCCCTGAGTCCCCTGCACCCCAGATGCAGCCTGGTCTTGGGGACCCACGCTAGAAAGTAGAAGCAAGGCCCTGAAAAGACACAGCTCATTTCCCTGGTCATTGCCAGTGTCCAAGCTCTAGGTCGCAGGCCTTTTGATTGCCTTCTCCAGAGCTAAAGAGTGGGTATGCGAACTAGACCCCGAAGGTCAGTTATGAGAAACCCAGTGCCATTTCCACTCCGCTAAAGAGGGAGGTTGCCCACAGGTCTGCACGCGGTGTGGATTTTCTGGTTTTTACTGCGATCGAAAATGACCACTGAGGCTAGTTGATCTTAGGCACGATGTTTTACCACTAGGGGACTTTTTTTGTTTATAAGAAAAATTTCTGATTTTTATTCTTAGGATAGAAAAATAGTAAGAGTTATTGTAGTGTTATCTCACATGCTATTTTGATACTTACTAAGTTTTTAAATGTAGAGTCTATAGACTGATTTCACTGAAAACTGACTGTTAATGGGTAGGCAGCACCAGACTGGCAGAAGCCCTCCGGTGTATTCAGAACACAGCTGCATGGGTGCCCGAACGGTGACAACATTGAGCTTAGACACCTCCCATGGGGACAGTGATGGGCTGTAGTGAAGGGATCCCCTTAAACCATACTTCACAAGTCGTAGGGTTTTGAGAAGCCCTATTGGTGGGCTAAAATTACAATATATATATGACAGGTAGAAATATTCCAAGGGCTTATTTTCATTTTCAAATGAAATCTGTAGTATCTGATTATAATTACTAACCCTATTGTATACGGGAATATAAATATCTGAATTTTTCTCAGAGGACTTGGTTTACATCCAAAGATGTTGGCAGTGGACACTAAGTTTACCTCAGGAATGGCAATCACGCAGCACTAGATTAAGAAAAAATGCTGGAGTTTAGCATTTTGGATACTGATAAAAATGACCAAAATAGAAACTAAACAGAATTGTCACATGTAGTCCACTGTAGTTTTATAACCATTATCCTGTAACTTGTTTGTACCAAGGCAACTTTTATACTTTTGATATAACATGTAATAAAAAATTAAGCAATTCAAAAAAAGAAAGAAAAATTCCTTCTTTTGGGGGGTCCTTTGACAATTGAGATGAAGGAAGTGTTAAGAGCCCTGAACGATGACAGGACTGGTCTTACAGGTTTGCTCTCTTCCCTGCTGACCTCCCCCATGGTGCCTCCGTGTTCCCAGGTGAACGGGAAGTGCTTTGAGACAAGGCACCTTACTTACCTCCCCTTCACGTCCTTCCTTCGAAGTCCACAAAGGAGTACTTTGCCTGGAATGTTTAAAAGTGCTTATTTATTACCTTTCTGGTCTTCCATTCAGAATGGAACACTCTTTAAAAAAATTGTATTGATTATAATTTTGCTAATGAGAGAGACTAGTCCTAATACTCTGAATTTTTTTGTGGTGCTTATTTGAAAAAGTAATTCAATAAATACATATAATATGTAAGGAATATCTTTTTCTTTCTTCACATCTTAACTTGATTTACCACTTAGCACCTGAAAGTGAGGAACCAAACCTTATTAAATATTTTATAGCTTCAGAGATCAATCATTTGTTCATTACAGGGGCTTAATAAAGTAATTTAAAACAATACTATCATTATAAGTTGATATCAAATTTGAAAATTTTGATTAAAAAAGAAACGTATTTGCTTCTAATAAGAAGACTGAACAGTAGCAATTCATGAATTTTATTTCATATTGTATATTTCCCACAAGCTCTCGTGTGTGATTTTTTAGAGGGTCGAGCATTTGGTAAATGTTTAATTCTGCTAGGTTTTTGAACACTTCCCCTTCAGGCTGTGGATCTTTTCCTTAGTTTGACCTTCACAGTCTTGAATGGCACGGCTCCTCTTGCTCATCTCTTTCCACACCTCCTAATGCCCCTCCCCACTCTTCTCCTTTCTCCTTCCCATATAGACATGCGCCTCCAATGTCTGGGCCTTTGCACATGTGTTTCCCTTTGCTTTCTTGACTCTTTGCCTAACTTGTAGCAGTATCCTTTTAGCAATAGTTGCCTCTTCTTCTGGGAAGCCTACCCTGATCTCTAAGACCAGGAGAGCTGTCTCCTCTAACAGAAGATCCCACAGGGCGAGGACTGTGTCCTATTCCTTCTCTTCCCAGCACATCTCAGAGTCCCCAACAAAGTAGATTCCACAGGAGCACTTTGAATGGACAACTTGGGTGCTTGGCATCTTTGAACAGAAATCACAAAATGTCATTGAAGAGATAATTGTTTCATTATTTCAGTGAAATATTTTATTTATTGACAAACAATTCCAATAGCAGCATGCTGTATGTTTGCTAGGCCTTCAACAGACATTAATGATCCCTTTAAAAAAACTTGGCAGAATGCTCTCCAGTTCCATCCATGCTGTGGTGAGGGTAGGAGCTCCTGCTTTCTTACTGCTACGTAGTATTCCATTGTGTAAATGTACTACAGTTTTTTGATCCACTCAATTACTGATGGGTATCTAGGGTGCTTCCAGCACTTGCCTATTGTAAATTGTTCTGCTATGAACATTGGGGTGCACAGGTTCTTGTGAATTAGTGTTTCAGGATTCTTAGAGTATAATCCCAACAGTGGAATTCCTAGGTCAAAAGGCAGTTCCATTTTTAGTTTTTCTGAGGAAATTCCATACTGTTTTCCACAGTGGATGCACCAGTCTGCATTCCCACCCACAGTGTACTACAGTTCTTTTTTCCCTACAACCTTGCCAGGACTACTCCTTGTTGATTTGTTTATGAAGGCCATTATGACCTGTGGGAAGTAGTATCTCACTGTGGTTTTAAAATTTGCATCTCTCTGATGGCTAGTGATGCTGAGCATCCTTTCATTTGTCTCTGGGCCCTCTGTATGTCCTTCTTGGAGAAGTGTCTGCTGAGTGAAATAAGCCAGGTGGTGAGAGACAAATACCATATGATCTCACCTATAAGTGGAACCTAATCAACAAAACAAGCAAGCAAGCAAAATATAACCAGAGACATTGAAATAAAGAACAAACTGACAATAACCAGAGGTGGGGAAGGGGATAACAGGGGAAAGAAGGGAAAGGGTCATCGGGAACATATATAAAGGGTCCATGGACAAAGCCAAAGGGGGGCATGATTGAGGATGGGAGGTGAGGGTAAGCAGAGTGGGGGAAAGTGGTGGTGGGAAAACAGAGACAACTGTATTTGAACAACAACAAAAATAAGTAAATAAGTAAAAACTTAGCAGAATCTTGTAAATTGATTGGCAGAATACCTAGTGACACAATCAGAAGAAGGAAGAACTTATAGAATAGAGTTATAATTTAGGAAGTACTAGAGAAACTTATACATGAATGTTTAGAACAGCCTTAGTCATCCTGCTAAATGAAAGAAGCCAGTTGTAAAAGGCCACACACTGCATGATTCCATTTTTATGAAACATGCAGATGGGGCAAATCTATAAAAGCAAAAAAAGTAGATCAGTGATTGGCTAGAGCCATGGTAAGGGAAAGGAGGAATGGAGAACAAATGCTAATAGTAAGGGGTTTATTTTAGAACATTTTATGAAAATGCTCTAAAATTAGATTGTGGACATCCTAAACCATTGAAATGTACAGTTTAAATGGGCAAATTGTATGTGAATTGTAACTCAATAAAGCCTTTTAGTTTTTAATGATTTTTAATTGAATTTATTACAATGACACTAGTTAATAAAATTATATGGGCTTCAGGGGTACAGTTCTGCAATACATCATCTGCATATTGTCCTGTGTGTTCACTTCATGTCAAGTCTCCTTCCAACACCATTTATTCCCCTTAACCCCCTCTTCCCTCCCCCAGCCCAATTTCCCTCTGAGACTCACTATACTGTTGTCTATGAGGGTTTTTTGGTTTGTTTGTTTTTTGCTTAATCCCTTCACCTTTTTCTGCAGGCTCCCCACCCCCTCCCCTCTGACAGCTGTCAGTCTGCTCTCTGTATCTATGAGTATGTTTGTTAGTTCATTTAGTTCATTAGATTCCATTGACCACATATAAGTGAAATCATATGGCATTTGCCTTTCTCTCACTGGCTTATTTCACTTAGCATTATACTCTCCATGTGCATTCATGCTGTTGCAAAAAGTAAGAGTTCCTTCTTTTTTATAGCCATGAAGTATTCCACTGTGTAAATGTACCACAGCTTTTTTATCCACTCATCTACTGATGAACACTTGGGTTCCTTCCAAATCTTGGCTATTGCAAATAATGCTGAAATGAACACAGGAGTACATAGAGTCTTTTGAATTAGTATTTTGGGTTTCTTTGAATATATTCCCAGAGGTGTAACTCCATACTGCTTTCTTTAGTGGTTGCACTCAGTAAAGCTGTTTTTAAGAAGTAGTAGGGGCCCTGGCTGTTGTGGCTCAGTGAATTGAGCATCAGCCTGCAAAACAAAAGGCTACAGGTTAGATTCCTGCTCAGGGAACGTGCCTGGGTTGCAGGCCAGGTCCCCAGTTGGGGGCATACGAGAGGCAACTTCACACATTGATGTGTCTCTCCCTTTCTCCCTCCTTTCCCCTCTTTCTGAAAATAAATAAAATATTTCAAATACAGTACAGCACGTTTGTTATAAAGTTATATCTCAACAGGCGTGAAAAAATACTTATCTAAATAATCTTCACTTGTAATAGTTCTACATGATACTTCTTGGTAAGTGAAAACCAAACCTCTGACATCTGGGCCTTTGAAATCCTACGTGCAGAGGCCAAGGCGTCCCACTCGGTGCTGACTAGCTGATGGGTGAGAAGTCACAGTGAGAAGATGCTAAAGATGCCAGCAAAGCTGATGCTCTCTGATGAACTCCAGGGAGGGAGCTGTAAATGAGGTGAGTGGAAAGATTATTCAAAGGACATAGCATAATTAGGAAGGAAACAGCAAAATCACATTTATAGTGTAAAACATAAACACGTACCTGGAAACTGACAGTTTCTAGAAAACAAGATTGTTTTTGTGTAGACTTCTCTCCAGCTAGCTGTCAGATTTGAAGAGTCTTCATTTCAGGCACCAGTGTGGTTGGCATAGTTGGAAGGAGTGTTGATCTGGGGTTTAGGAGACCCATGTTCTAGTCCAGCCTCTGTTATTTATTCACCAGCCAACAAACAACTATTGTAAGCTTGTTCTATGCCAGGCTCTGCATCTAGCCCTGGTTATCCAAAGTTTCAAAGCTACAGACATACCCAAGGATCTCACCTTTCAGAGAAAGACAGTAAAGAGGTACGATAACTGCTATGACAGGAAGGAGGGGACCTAGTCCCTCCTGAGGAGTAAATACAGAAGAGGGAGGAATGAGGGGGAGGCTTACCATGCACTGAAGTCTATTGTTTTCTTGTTAATTGTTTGCTGTCTCACAAGTACCCCATCTCCTTGAGGAAAGGGAGCCTTTTCTATCAATTCATTTCTTAAAAAAGTTTTATTGAGACATAATCCACATACCACATGACTTATCTATTTAAAGTATACAATTCAATGGTTAGTATATCCACAGATTTATACAATCATCACAAGATAATTTTAGAACACTTTTATTACTGCAGAAAGAAACCCTGTACCCATTAGCAGCCAATCTGCATCCAGCCCTCCTTCACTGCCAGACTTAGCTACCACTAACCTACTTTCTATCCTTACAGATTTGCCTATTCTGGATGTTTCACGTAAGTAGAACCTTACAGTGGGTGGCCTTCTGTGACTGGCTTCTTTCATGTTTTCAAGATTCACCCATGTGGTGGCAAGTTTCAGAACTTCATTCCTTTTCATGGCCAAATAATATCCCATTGTATGAACATGCCACAATTTGTCCATTCATCAGTTGATGGGCATTTGAGTTGTTTCCACTCTGGGCTATTGTGAACAATGCTTGTAATGAAGATTGTGTTCAAGATTTTGAATGGACATGTGTTGCCATTTCTCTTGGGTGTATACCTACAAGTGGAATTACTGAATCATAAGGTTACTCTGTTTAATCTTTTGGAAACTGCCAGCCTGTTTTCCAAAGTGAATGCACCATTTTACATTCCTCCCATCAATTTCTCTATGTCCTTGCCAACATTTTTTTTTCTGACCACAGATAGCCCACTGGGTCTGAAGTGGTCACCTTGTTCATTTTTGTACCTGTAGTGCCTTAAAGAGAACCTGGCACAGGTAAATGCACAATTTGCTTGTTGAGCAAATTTGAGAATATAGTAGACATTTGTCATTCGCGGGTTCTCAGCACCTGACCTTCTTGACTTTGTTTGTGGTAATCCAGTGATTAATGTTGAGAACTAGATCCCAATTACAATGTAGAAGCCAAAAAAATGTCAGCTCCTTATTTTCCCAGCCCTACTTGCAACCACAGCAAGAAACAAGTGCTGAACTTGGTAAAACTAGTACATCTGCCCCAGCTTCAGAGAGGCCGCTGTAATCATGCAAAATAGGTTTGGTGGAGAATCCATTCTGGTGACAATAACAGATACTACAGTGGCATCTGGTTTCCAAGAGCAACAGTGCTGGGAGTGCCAGTGGTAGGTGGTACCAGCACCCAGGCCATTGAAGTGGAAGTGTAAATGGAGGCATCCTGCACTGAATGGTGGTGGCAGTGATAGACACCTCCCTCAATGGGCTATAGTGCTGCCCAGACTTCCTTGTTTTTCCTTGTTGTCTGAGCCTATTTCTGCAGCCTTCCCAGCAATTGTGTCAGCCTCCCCATGTCTTTTCAACAAATTCCCTTCTCCTAGGTCAGCAACATCAGTGTCTTCTGTTGCTTGCCACTAAGAACCCTAGCTACTACAATGAATACTGGATGGGTGGGTAGGTGGTGGGTGGGTGGATGGATGGATGGATGGATGAATGGGGTTATGTGAGTAGAAGTTCATCAGGCACAAACGCCTTTCAGGCAGAACAAAGAGCACAGCATAGCCCTGGGGATGAAGGAGCATGGTGTACTGGGAAAACTGCCAAGAGTTACGTCTGGCTGGGGTAGAAGGAGTAAGGTAAGGAGTGGTTAGGTGTAAAGCTAACAAGACTAGCCTGGGACAGCTCAGGAAGGATCTTTTTGTATGCTGAAGAGCTTTGATTTCACCTTGAAAAAAAAAAGCACAGAAAAATGATCAATTTAATCAAGGTAGTGACATCAGATTTGTAATTAGAGAATATGCTATTAAAAAAGTCCTGGCAGCAGGGAGAAGAATGAATTGGAGGGGAGGAAGATTGGATACAAGAAGACTGGTTAAGTAGCCATAGCAGTAATTCCAGTGGAAGACCACAAAGGTCTGAATCGAGGTCGTGAGCTTGGGGAGGAGGCATTGGATCTGAGACATGTTACAGATAATGGAGGTAGAGCCAAGAAGAATTTTGTCCTCATTCCAGTACATAGGAGTGAAGGAAGAAGGTAGATCATGGATGACTCCAAGTTTTCAGCCTAAGTCACTCAGTATATGGTAATGCCATTTATGCATGCATTCATTCATTCAGCTAAAATTTAATTAGCATAGACCTGGCCCTACCTTGGCTGTGGTAACAATAACTCTATATCGGGTTCAGTTTATGTGTCTTCTCAGATTTTCTGGGCCTCAGCATCTCTGAGACCCTTGGCGTTTTGCTCTGTTTCAGCTTCCACCCCGAGGGACTTAGTTAAGTCCTTGTAGTTTGCCTGTCAGATGCTGACCAGCCACAGGCCCACAGCTGCCTCCCATCACTTCCAGAACCTAGGGCGGGGCCCTTGGCTTTCCAGTGGCTATCAAAGCATATGGGTAGCACAACTGGGCAGCCTGGGAAAGTTAGCTTTCTGTGGGACAATCTTTAGCCAACAGGAGATGGGGGACACGGAGTTCCTCACTTGCTCAGATTGTTTCAAGGCATGATTATTCCATACTGTCTGTATGAAGATGTCCTTCCTGTATGGTCAAGGAATTGCACCTGTCAAGAAACTTGCAGTTTCTCTTCAAGGCTTGTCATTAAGCACCAGGTATCATGTTAATGTATCACCATGCAAGCAAGGCTCCCCATTCCTCCTCGCCGTTTCCCTCGCTGTCGCCACTTTGGGACACCACCTCCTAAGCAAAGCATTAGCACTTAATCCTTGTATCAGGCTCTGTTTTCTGGGGAACTGGGCCGAGATACACCCAAATAGAAAAACAGGAGATGATGAGTCTGGGTGAACTTAAGTAAAATGATCCATCCATTCACAAAAAAGTTCTTGAGTGCCTCCATGTATGTTTGAATTAGAGATACTATGGTGAACAAAACAGATGTATTTTTTGCTCTTGCTGGGCCTACATTCAGTGGAGTGGTAACAAATGTTAAATCAGCACAGAAATTAATGAGCATGATAGTTCCAAATAGTGACAACGGTTTTAAAGAAAAAATGTAAAAGGTAACACAATAGTGTGACTGGTATACATATGGGGATGCTAATCCAGATGGGGTGTTCAAGGGGACAGAGAATAGATAGAAGCGTGCTCCAAAAAGAGGATCAGGACCTCCATAAAAAGTCACAGAAGGATGCACTGGAGATAGATATATTGTCTAGTGTTGAGGGATGTGTGGATAGGAAATTTGCCCTTATCTTGACTATGAAGTAGTTGAGTAGGACATATGCAAGGAAAGTAATGGGAGCAGAGAGGTTGAAGAGAGGAGCAAAGGCAGGAAAGAGGGTGCAGAGCAGGAACAGGTAGAAGTGTTAGTGAGCAGTGCCAGAGAAGAAAAGATAGCCACTATGTGTATAATCCCTGACACTAAATGGCCACAGAACTTGGGAGAAGCCTGGTCCTTGGTTTCCTTAGCTCCAAAATAAGAGTACTGATCAAGCTTCATGATTGTATGAAAGCAAGGAGGAGCTGATATGAAACCTCTACGTAGCTATGTAATTTACTCCTTGAAATACACCGTTGAAATCCTTAGGACTCAGTAATAATTGGCTCTCTCCCACCATTAATTATAGTCTGGCCATTCACCAGCTAACACAATTGTCAGACTCCTTTAGCAAAATGTCTTTTTCATAACTGAGGACTGTTTACAGTAAGAACAAACAATTGGGGCTCATTAATTCAATCATTAGGACACTGATTATGCATCTATTGTCTACTCTAGTTAGTTATGTTAAATAAGCTCTTCAGTCTTCATCAGAACAATTATGCTAATATGCTTGAAATTTCCCAAGAGTTTTATACTTTCACACACTTATCCTGCCTACCAGCAGCCTGGCTCAGACTGCTTAACATTGTCACACACAGACAATTATAAATAAGGCATAAGGTCCTATTGTTGACATATGACTACAAATTATGCCCCTCACAATAGGACTTGAGATAATTTGTGCATCTGTTCTTTTAGGGGTGAGATAGTGGCCTACTTCCTATCAAATATGTAGATCTTAGATATTTAAATACCTTAATGGGAGTACTCATTGCACTGGCATTGTAACACTCCAAGTCATATTCGAACGTTCATTGGATTAGCTATCCAGTGATCAATTGATCCAGTGATCAGTTATGCCTTTAAATGTATAGCCAAGAAATATAATATTATCAGCTGTCTGGAGAATGATGAGAAATATAACTTATTTTCACCACCCATTTTTTTCTCAACCAGAGCCAAACTTCTCTCTTTGAATTTTGAAAACCTTATCTGTATGTTTTTTTTTCTGAGTGATTTTGGCCATAGAATAAGAATTTTCCATCATGACCAACCAATGCTTTTATGATTGGTCATAACAGATACCTGATAAATACTTGCTAGATTCAATTCTTTTTCTTGTGTATGCTTTATTCTCATCTCCATCAGATGTCAGTTTTCACTTCTAACAAAAAATAGCATGTGAGTTTGTGTGTGCCTGTGTGTACAGGGGCAGGTGTGACATCTTTAATGTAAGTTTATTCAAAACATAAAATTTCATTGTATTGAGATAAAAATCCAGCTGGTGTTGAATTTTTCCTATAATTATTTATAACAAAAGTAACACCATATTTTTGCTCTTTACAATTTTACTTAGATTACCTCCTGCAGTCAGTGTCCTTTCAGGTGCAAGTGGCTGGATCTTTCCTTAAGCTGAACTAATGTTCATTTCAACTTAGCTCCACCATGAGGAGCAAATACAGAGATTAGATGTCGAAGAGATGCTGTACAGCTGTATGGAGGGCGCCTGCAAACTGGAAGGACAGGGCAAAGCTGTGTAGAATGCTTGCAGACCTATGACACACACACCATTCTGCTGCTATGCAAGTGCTGTACGACACTTTTCTTCAATTACTGTATTTTGGTAAGGGTGTGGGAAGACACCTGAGAATGAGATATTTTCCTTACCCTTCTGGAATGTAGGCAAAACATACATACAGCAGAAGCTACAAAACTGCTCAAGACTATACTAACAGATCGAGATTAATCAAAGTGAAGTCATAATAGGTACTCGTGTATCATTCTGACCACGAGAGAAAATTCATAGGTGAGTGATATTCTTCTGGTTGGAGTAACCAGGAAGGGCTTTCTAGACCTGGTAAGAGATGAATGAACTATGAGTCGTGTCTTTTGAAAAATCAACACAAGGGTAAATATTTTTAAAACTTCAGCTACAGAGGAAGTAATAATGAAATTTAAGTTTTCCAGGCATGACTTCCAGGTTCTCTTTCCAGAAGCAACCATGATTACCACTCTTTTAACGTGTCTTTCTAATACATTTAAGTACTTTTAAATTGATTCTGAGTTTTTAATTTCATTGATTTTGCAGTGTCATAAATAACGAAGGGTTAGTGTCCACCCACATAACAAATAAGATATATTTAATATAATTTATGCAATAGAGATTAATGATGATAGGTCTTGAGGTACCCTAGTCAATTTCCAAGTTGATTGCTGCCCCTGCTCCATCTGCCTTCAATTTCGCTTCTTGACCCACTTTTGTTTAGATCCATTTCTATCAGAGGGGACAAAAAGCATGTTCCAATTTCTAAGCCCTTTGGGAACTGCATGGGTAGTTAGATTGCTCCCCCTCCCCTCAATATTAGAGATACTGAAAAGCTTCCTAAATGGAAGAGTTAGGGACCCAAAGTCTGATGCTTTGTACAGATGGTCTTAAACCTCAAGCATATCATCCACTGGATTATTGTACCCTTCAAAGTTCCTAATTCCCATAGCAGGTTCTTCTGGAATCCCAGCCAGCCCTGCTTTTGTTTCTATCCCTACTTCCCCAGATGGATACCCAAATAAATGTACACCCTGGTCACCTAGGAGAAAATATTTGTGTGACTCACAGGGTAGTTAACCACAGGGCATTTCATATTAAAATGGTTGGCTTGTGTCAGCAGGAAGACAAAAACCAGAAGCAGGATTCCTACTTCTAAATTGAAGTGCCTTTGCCCTGTATCACAGGTGGCAAATACAAGGCCCACAGGCCAAATCCAGACCTCCACCTTATTTTATTTGGCCTGTTTCTACCAGGCAGCAGCGCTGAGCTCTCGTTTAACTGTTAAAGAGTAGTTACATTCATACACTCCTAAAATCACATTCAGCCCTTTGAAGGCAACTTTGAGGCTGATGTGGCCCCCTGAAAGTGAGTTTAACATCCCTGCCCTAGACCACCCTCCCTGGTGGCTCTGGGATGTGGAAGCAGAGGCTCAGGAGGTGGGAAAGTTCCATCAGGTGTTTCCGGGGTCTCCTTCACAAGCTATTTTTAAAAAGGGGGAGTAGAGCTGCCTCTAAACTGACAACAGAAGAAAACCTTGGAAGAAAACTTTTGAAGAATCGCTGCTGAATAGTGTCAACTTAGCATAAGTAAATGCAGGCGACTGAAGGGATGGAAATATTAACTATGATTGATTTTCTTTTAACTTCAAAGCCCTGTGCTACTATTCATTTTGATATTATTTTATTTAATCACTGTGTAACTATATTAGAATAGCTATCATTGCAGGTGAGTTCCACTTGCCAAAGATCACAATTAAGAACAGAGCTGAATTCAAAACTACAATGTGCCTACCTCCAAGATTCATGCTCTTCATCACAACCTTTCCATGAGAAAAGTACTTCTGTTTGAGAGAAATGGAGGAAATTTTGAAAGGACATCTGGAAAACCTGTGAGTTTCAGGGAATGGCCAAATAAATCTCTCTCCAGAAGACCCCTTCCTCAGAGAAGCAAGCCTTCATTTCTGAAAAGATTATACTTCAAGAATTCTTACTGTTTGAAATGGTCACTTGGTACTTCCTGTTTACTTACTGGTATTGTTAGCGCCCCTTTCCTGCTTGTAAGTCCCCAGTGAAATGAAGTAAGGAGTATGAGATTGAGCGCTGAACAGGGAGCCAAAATTGTCGTTTCTGCCACCAACTATCTGTTGGTGAGACCTAACTTTCGACTTTAGTTTTATGGTGCTCCCTAACATAGTACTGTAAGTGCTTAATAAATACCTGATGTAGTTGATTAATCGGGTTCAGTATTTCAACAGAGACTTGAGTGTTCCTAAGGTAAAAGCTAAGTTACCCGAGTGCAGTTTTGCCCCCAACCAACTTTGGGCAGTGATCAGCTTAATTAGGGTCTTGCACCGCTGATATTGGGGGCTTACCGACGTCATCTGAACAGCGGAAAAATGAAGGGGAAGGTAATCTAATAATTAACGGGCATCGTGCTTACGTTTTAATCTTCACTAGGATCTTTCACACCATGGAGTATTAACAGCATTTTTTTTTTAAATCGAAGATTCAGGTTAAAACTACCTGGCAGCCCAGACATGGACTTATTTACATCTCGAACCCCGCCCCCGCTTACTACCACAAGGACCCCGCCCACTCGCCCACTCATTCGCAAATGGGCGCGCCCAGTGTGGGTCCAGTACCGCGGCTCCACCGAACCATCTTTCTGCTTCTCTTTCGTCCCGTCCTCCGGGCGGCCCCACGTTTTCCCAGGGGCTGAGCACGTGTCCACTCTCGTCTTATCCTAAACAAGGTGGGCCAAGCAGTGGCCCCCAACAGGCCCCACCCAATGGCGCTGGAGACCGAGGGGGGTCCAGGGCCGAGGCACTGAAGGACCGGGAATCAATGGGGCTGTTTTCCCACATGTGCTTCCTCCTTCCTCCCTCCCTTCCTAGAGACTCTCCTGTGAGCTCGCCGGAGACGAAGTCAACCGAAACCACGGGCGTCCCACCCCACCTCGTCCGCGCCGCCGTCCTGGCCGCGCCTCGCCTCACGTTCTACGGGGGAGGCGGGACCAATCAGGGAGCGACGTCTCCCTTCCGATTCGAGGCCCGGGATGCGCGGCTCACACCCCGAGCACCTCGCGCGCTGATTGGCTGTGCGCGCCGCCGGTCGGGCCGAGAGGGCAGGGCGGGCTTGAGGGAAAGGAGGTGGGGAGGTAGTGACCGCGACTCTCGAAGCCCCGCTCGCGCGCCGGCCCTTCCCGGGCGCTCGGCCTCCTTTTTTCCCTCCTCCGCAGGTCTCTCTTCCGTGCGCGCTGAGCGCTGCGCTCGGCCGGCGTGCCTCGCGCCCTAACGGGCGGCCGGGGGCGCCAATCAGCGGGAGGCAGGGTGCCAGCTTCGGGGCTGCGCCGGCGAATCGGCGGGGCTCGCGGTCCGGGGTGGGAGGCGGGTCTACAGCGCGGCCGCGGCATCGGAGGAGCAGCACCGAACCAGCAGCTAGGGATCTCCGAGCAAGCCGCCCAGAGGTGGGTGCGCCGCGCCGCTGCGGCGGGCGGCGGAGGGCGAAGGGCGGAAGCGGAGGTGGGCCGGTGGGCGAGGCGGGGGAGAGCTCTGCTGTCCGGGCGGCCGAGGGTGGGGGGTGGTGCGGGCGCGCGCCTGAGGGGAGGAGGGGCGGTGGCGGCGGGACGCGCGTCCCCACCCCCTCCTTCCCGCGGGCGGCGGCCCGGCCCGCGCCCCCTCCTCGTGCGCCCGGGCCGCGGGCTGGGCACTAGGTTGGAGGAGGCGGGGCGGGAGGCCGGGCGGCCGCGAGAGTGTTTTCAGTTCCGCCTCTAATCTCCCATTCCCTTTCCCCCTCCCAGCCCCTCATCCCATTCGGAAGAGGAAGGAACAAAAGGTCCCGGACCCCCGGCTCTGGTGGGGCGGGACCCGGAGCCTTGGTCCAGGTAAAGTCGAAACGCCCTGCGGGCCCTGGGGGCTAGGGGTGTGTTTGTGCTGGGCTTTGGTCAGTGAGGCTTGCTGCGTCTCCTGGCCACCGGGGCTGGGGGCTGGGGGCTGGGGGCTGGTGGCTGGTGGCTGGTGGTTGGGGTGTGGCGAGGTCGGGGGAGCCGTGCGCCCGGCCCTCGGGGTACGAGAACAGGGGGCCGGGCTGGGCTGGCGGAAGGGAAGGGGTCTGCAGCCGGAGTGCCTCCTACCTGGCCTGGGGGTTCGCTGTGGCCCTTCCCCTCTGTCTCGAACACAGTTGGTAAGTTTGTAATTCTGATTTTCAAAGCCGGAGGGACAGAGCTCTTGTTTCGGGAGTGGTTGGGAAACCGTGTTAGGAGCATGCGATACTTGGCTTCCACTTTTTTTTAGCCCCCCCCCCTTCACTTTTGGTCCCGTAACCTTTGTTAACCATTATATTCTTGGAGTTCTGAAGTGCTTGTGTGTCCTCTCACACAAACATGTATACGGCTGTTGAGATCCTTCTCTACTCGTAAAAGTTGCTCTGAGTAGAGCCTATTAGGTTTTATCACACGTCTTTAGAGAGCACGCTAATTGATTTCACGTATTTCAAACTTGGTTTCCAAACTACAGCTTTAATTGTTTTCTCTCCGGGGATACTGTCCTTGGATTGGGTACTTTTGTCTTTTACTTACTTAATCCTTATGTGGTTAATGGTTTCCTTTTGATTCTAAACAAAGGAAAAACAATTCCTAGGTTGGTTTTGTTATTTCTTCCTTTTGACTCTTTAGATAACTAAATACTACCGATTTGTTGTCCACTAAACCTTTATTTAAAAAAAAAAAACTCCAGGTCAAAACGAATTTGGAAGTAGCATTTTCTGTCATATCTTGCTTGTTACAGTTTGAGATATCCTAAATTTTGGTGTTTTAAACTTTTAAATGACACATGTAAGGTAATTGTTAATAAGTGATCACGCAGACTTTCTTGGGATAATTTCACCTTTTCAAAAATGATCCTTGAAATTTGAATTAACTTTAGATCTGAATGATTCTGTAATGTTAGTTTCTTTTCATTTCCTGTCTTCTGATTTCATATGAATTGAACACGTACCACTGATTGTAAGGATGTTTTATTTGAGCCAAGTAAGATGATAAGTTTGCTGTTATTCTGTAAATGCATTTGTTATTCTAGTTGTCACCTGCTTTAAAAAATGTTTCTCTAACATGGTAGTGTAAGCCAGTTAGTTATTTGAGGAGTTTTAATGTGAATAAATAAATACGCAACTGTAACATAGAGATTGGAGAAATAATGTAAAATGGACTCATAAGTGTATTACAGTTTGAGGATTTTCTTATTTGCCTTAAGAAAACCATTCAGGAAAAAGCAAAAAGAAAACCCTACAGGATATCCATAGAATTTTCTCCATGAAAAGATCATTTAGCAAACATTTACATTCAATTTAGAAAGTAGCACTGATTTTAAAATTAAAGTTTCTTAGTTTTTGCGATAAAATTAGTTGTGGTAGCAAATAAGAGTAGTTCAGGTCTTGTGGGCATTTTTAAGGTGAGTACCCACTTACCCCCCTAATGTTACAATTAATTGACTTGAAAGTAATTAATGTAAGTGATTGGAAATATCAATTTCTTGGCTTGTTTTAATATGACATTATTCTTAGAGCTTGTTTTTATATGCTATACCTTCTGAAGTGATTTAACAACATTGTACATGTTCAACGAAAGTTAGATTTTTCAAGGTTGTAACTTATCTGTACCAGTCATAAGTGGTCAAATTTCCACACAGTCTGTAAGGTTCATGAAATAATAGTCTTGTGAGAAACTGTGCAGGGCAATTTCCTGTTGTTTGTGGCTTGTCAGGCTTGGTGTGTGTTTTAACTCAAGTAGGAATTTGGGGATGGTTTTGTGTATTTCAGCAGAAATCTCTTTAATTTAAATAAGAGTTGTTTCTGCTGCAAGAATGGCAAAAGGCCTTTTCATATTCATTTTGTAAATATTAGAATTATGTTGCTGTAATCGCCTTACTTTGGGGGAAGACGTGAGTGAAAAACACTTTATTTAGCTGTATAAACTGCTGACCATAAACCTATTGAATTTTTACATTTCACAAATATTTTCAGGTGTGGCTTTTATAAAGGTGTGAATGTTTCTTATTGTTTGGGTTTGATTCTGCTGGTTTTATATTTTATGACTCCAAAGGCCTCATTTGTAGCACTTTTTAATACTGATGTATTTATAATGTATATAAAAACTGTATTTAGTGCATTCTGGCAGATGGAGGTTTATTCATATTCTTGGGACAAAAGTCATTTTTAGAAGATAGAGAGGGGCATGCATGTCTTAGATTCCTTGGGTCTCATGATGGGAGTAGAAGAGCCATTTTTAAGCTCTTAGTTTCTGTAAGAGGAAAGATGTTTTCCACTAAGTATTGCAGGGGTATATTAGAAAATGTGAAAGATTTCAGAACCAATTCAGGAGAGGTCAAACGTTTATTCAACAGATAACTTGCACTTGTTCAATAAGTGCAAGTTATTTACTTACTCAACAAGTAAACGTTCTTTGATGTGTGTTGGGCCCTGGACTAGGCAATAAGGTGTCTAACAAGGAACAAGTATACTCCTGTCCCTTAATGGGATTAGAGAAGTAGAAGCTCCTCCTATCTCCTGTCCTGTCCTCCAGTGTTGAGAATAAAAAAAAATCAAGTTATTGCAAATCGAGGGAGCATGTAATGCATTACTGAGCCAATTTCTAAAGTATGCTTGCATTGCTTTCCATAATGTAGCGGACAGCACGAGGGCTGTTAGGTGTTAACTCACAGTGTCACTGAAAGCTGTCAGTGTCTGGGGAGCGGAAACTCACCACCATTTTTGCACAGTCCATACAAACTGAAGATATGGCTTGTCTTTCACAAACATTTTGTTGCTGAGCAGATGAACCCTTGTAAGAACTAAGCTTCATTTGGCCTTAGTTTGTTTACCCATTGTTCTTTAGTTATAGAAACTGGTTGGGGAAGAAAGCAAACTTGAATCAGTTAGGTTCCAATAAAAGCATCAGAAATAAAGTGTAAAAGCAATTAGCTAAACCAAGAACAAGGATTGGGTTGCAATATGTAGTGGAAAGACCATGGCTTTTGGAGAGAGAGCTAAGCTAGTAGTAGTTTCTCAGTTACTATATTGGGCAAATTACTTAACTCCTGAGCCTTGTTTTTTTCTGACTGAAAATTGAGGTAACACCTAAATCTTAAGGTTATTATAAGGATTAAATGATCATGATTAAAATACTTAGAACATTGCCTCAGACCTAAGGGTCCTCCCAGATGATCTCCTGTTCTCTTCTGTTTGTGGGTTTCAGTTGTTTTCTCTCTAATCCAAATGATTTGTCTACACTGTCATCCTTGACCTATGATAAAAAAGCATTCGAGAAGCACACACTAAGCAAAGAAGGCCTGGGGAGTCAAATTGTCCAAGTCCTTGTACCTTACAGCTTTAGTTGAAGGAGAGCCATTGAGACCTTTATTCAGAACCTGTCGGTATTTGCTTCAGGTATTTCTAGCAAGGAAAGTTATCTGGCTTCTAAGTCCAGAATAGATTAGAAACAAGTAGGCTGGGAGTAATGTGGGAGGTTAAGGGGGGGGGGGGTGAGAGGTGGGAAGGTGGGGAACTGTTTCCCACTGTTGTAAGAAAAAACAGATGGCAGCCTGGTAGAGGGAGTCTACAAGACACAGAAACAAATATTCAAAGCCTATCCAGCATGTCTGGGACCATTCAGTGCAGGACCAGACCTGAAAGTGTAGTAATGAATGTTCATCAATTAGCTTAAGTCATGTTTGGGGAAGTCTTTTTAAGAGTGCAGCAATCTACATAATATACTTTAGATTACCATTCAGGATGATTAACAAATGTTCTTAAAAGTGTAGAACATTGTACTATGCGGAATAATTTGTTTCAGAGAAGAACTATAGTACCTGCTAGGACCAAGATATTTTTCATTTGGTTTGCCATTCAGTGCACCACGATGACTGACTGAAACGCCTTTCATGCTAAGCTCCAGTAGTACAGGATGGTGGTCTAAATGGACCAGCACCCCATACCACACGTTTTCTTTAGAGTTAATTCTTTTTGTCATTCTGCAAGGGTGTCATGTAAAACTTTTCACTCAGTTTTTGAGATGGAGTATGTTAAAGATTTCCAGGGGCCAAACTAATGTAGAAAGTTGGCTAATCTGTTTGAGGGCTTTTTCCCTCTTATATGTGACTTCTACCCAGTATTAACTTTAATAAATTTTTTGGATCCTCCTCCTTCCTACCTCACTGTTAATTTCTAAATTACCAACTCCATCACATACTAATTGGTGACATAGTAATAGCCTTGACTATATAAAAATAAAACCACATGATTTTTTTAAACCAGTAGTACGAAAGTAATCAAGTTTTTTTCCCTTTAAAAATGCACAGAGGCTATTGCTTGTCATATGTCAGTTTTGATCATTTTTAGATTGGTATAATTGTGTTGTATTCAGTTAGGACATATTTCAATAGTGATTCTGGATATATATATCTCAAGGATAGCTCTTAGCTTCAATTTCAGTAATTTCATGTATGGAAAATATAGTTTTGCCAAGCCAGGTAGATTTAGACACCGCCTCTGGTTTAGTCAGATGGACAGAGATATTTGGGTAATTCTGTGACTTAAACATAACATTCTAGGGTCTGAGTGGTTCTCCTTTGGCTCAGGGGCTCTTTTTAGTTGTGGTGGACCTATACTGATAGGATAGGTGTTCGGTAAGTTAATGTGTTTAGGTTTGTACTCCTAAGAAAACAGATCCTGAAATGATTCATTCTTACTCAACTGTGTGAGTTTCCTATGAAATTGTCACTAATTCTTCCAGGTAGTTCTGTAATTTTTCAAAAACTGGAATTACTTTGGCTTTTTAAGACTAGAGCAGTGGAAAGTAAGTGTAGGCTTTAGTTGCATTCCGTTCAGTAC